ATACTATTTGTACATTAAGTTGTATAAATCCATTAATACACTATATATACACATACACATACATACCTTCATACACTAAAATTGAAATATATTGATTCATACACTAAAATTGAAATATATTGATTCATACACTAAAATTGAAATATATTGATTCATACTAAATTATATAAATGATACATACATTTATACATAAAAATAACTACCACAAAAAAAAAAAATATCCGTTAATAGATATTTTATATTTTAGTTTTTAATTGCTTAGAACTCCTAAGTTATGAAAAAGTATAATAAAATTAAAATATCTTTCCAAAATCTGACCTTAATTATCGATAGATATTCTAATTTTAATTTTTTATTTTCTAAAACCTCCCAAATAAAAAACTAAAAATAAAATTAAACTATTCGTCGGTAATTAGTATGTAATTGTTAACGGATATCTTAAATTTTAAGTTTTAATTTTTTTAATTGATAATTTTTCAATCTATCGGTAATTACCTACGGTTTTCAAATCCATCGGAAAGTTGTCGATAATTACCTACAGCTTACTGGCTGATACTTTTTTTTTGATAATTTTCATATTCGTCGTCAATCAACGACGGAATTTTTCGTCAATAATATTTCATCGGTAAAAGTCATTTTTCTAGTAGTGGCGGGTTGGGGTAGATTGTAATGTGACTTTTAGTCTAGTAGCACTACTAAAAGAAAGACTTCTACCTAGGGAGTTTTCCCTGGAAAATCGGTCGCGTTAAATGGTTATTCATCATAGAACTGTCGCAAAAGTTGGTGGATAAATTGTTGATGGGTAATTCAAGTCAATGACAGATTATCCAAAGCATTTTTTGGGTGATTCGTTGGTATTTTTTTAAAAAACATCGAAATCTATTGAATGATTTCCTTGAGTGATTTTCGTGAGTAAAAGTCATTTATTTTCTAGTTATTCCTCATTTATTGGTTGTGAAACGTATCCTACTTTACATCTGTGAGGCTCTTGGGTATGGCTTGCACCTTTATGCCTCCCCCACAACCAGTTTGAAGTTCTACTTGGACGCTGATTGAGGAGATACTTGTTGCTCCATTTCAATCTATTGCACATTCTTGTGGGATAACTTCTTGTCGTGGTCTTCAAAGCACAACCCACTCTTTCTCGCTCCAATGTTGGGGAATACCATGTGGTTATCAATGCCATTGCCGAGACTTCTTATATTCGGAATTTGTTACTTGAACTACATTGTCCGCTTCGTCGAGCAACCATTGTCTATTCTATGTGATAACAATAGTGTGGTTACCTCTCCTCTAATATTGTTCAACATCAACGCACCAAACATATTGAAATGGATATTCACTTTGTTCATGAAAAGGTGGCTCTTGGCCAAGTTCAGGTGTTACATGTTCCTACTAGCTAACAGTATGCCGACAAGATCTCCCTTCCTCTCTGTTTTTTGAGTTCGGTCCAGTCTCAACGTTTGCCCTTCTTCGGCTTCGACTACAAGGGTGTGATAATAGATAAATAAATATGTAAAATATTTGTTTATATTTTGTTTATATTCCCCTTTCCTTGTTTATATAGTTTTACATATTGTTGTAATTTCTATATATTCTCCCAAGATCTCATGTTAGATCCTCTTGGTGAGTGATTTTCGATTGATAGTATTGTAGACTACTAGACTGAATGTTGCATTATAACATAACAGAGTTAGCTTAAAGGAATAAGATAAATAGTTAAACCACTTCAAAAGAACGTTCATTATTTAGGATCTTCAAAGTCCCAAGAGCTAAGACCAGAGGGCAAGGAAAAATAAAAATTACAGAATGGCTGGACTTGGATCATTTAAGCCAGGTTACTTGCCTAGCTCAACAATTAGTCTCAAGCTTTCTAACAAGCAGGATAACGAGCTCTCATGAACTTGCTCGGCTACACCGGCCTATATGTTGTACCATTGACTAATTGGTTGATATACACATAGAGTTGATCATGTATCATATACCCATCAAAATGTAAAGTGAAAAAATTTCAAATCTGAGAAATAACTTCCTACAAACCAGGAAAAATCCTTCCTTTGACTTGTTATAGACGATTGGTATTCATGACATTTGTAAATGTTTAGACCTAAGAGTAGTATATATATTAGTTGATATTTGTTAAAGGTTAAGCTAGTTATGGTGTTTAATCGTTAAATGTTGAACGATTAGTTATTAATTATATGTTGACAGTTATATAACTGTCATGATATTGTGTCGTTTGGGTGAAGGGTTGCATCCCTTCGTATATGTATATATGTAATTTATCTATTGTATGTAACGATTGGATGATTCAATGAATAACATATGAATGGTTAAAGGTTGCTCTAACATTATGGTATCAGACCCTCAGAAAAATAGGGTAGCAAAAATACTGAATAGGACAATAATTGAGAAGGATAGGAGCATGTTAAAGAGCAAAAATATGGACAACTCTTTCTAGGGAGAAGGAGTGGCATGTGCATGCTACCTAAGGAATAGAACATCTACAAAAGGTCTATCTAACATGACACTGCAGGAAGCTTGGATTGGGTATCAGCTCACTGTTGGTCATCTTAGAACCTTTGGGTGCATTGCTTACTCATATATACCTGAACAAAAGAGGAACAAACTAGATGAAAAATCAGAAAAGACCAGATTCATGGGATATAGTGACATATCAAAAGGCTCCAAGTTGGACAATCCCATCACTAAAAAAATCATCATAAGTAGCAATGTGGTGTTTGATGAAAGAAAAGGATGGAATGATCTGTTGAAAGAGGAAGGAAATAGTATACAAATCTTAGAAGGTGATGATGAACAGAAGGAAATCAATTTGAACCAAGATGATCATGATCAGACTCCTCCAACAGTAAACACTCCTTTAACATCTAGCAACACTCAAACCTATCAAGAATAAACTACCCATAAGTCTACTTGTGAAAGTCCACCAAAAAGAGGACATAGAAGCCTGAGGGACATCTACAAATGACACAATGAGACTTGAATTTAATGATACTACAGATTTTTTGTCTTATTTTCAGATGCCGATCCATTATCTTATGAAAAATCCAATCAAGAAGATAAATGGAGAGATGCCATGGATAAGGAGATAGAAGCTATCATAAAGAATGACACCTGGGAATTGGTAAATCTTCCAAATGGTCACAAACCAATTGGAGTCAAGTGGATATACAAGACAAAGTTAAATGAAAAGGGGAAATAGATAGATATAAATCAAGGTTAGTAGTTTAAAAGGCTACAAACAGAAATATGGCATTGATTACCAAGAAGTCTTTACACTTGTCATAAGATTAGAAGTTGTAAGATTGGTCCTTGCTATTGCTGCTCAAAACAACTGAAAAGTACATCAGATGGATGTTAAGTCAGCTTTCTTAAATGGAAGCTTTGAAGATGTCTACATAGATCAACCAGAAGGATATGTGAAGAAAGGTGAAGGGTAAAGGTCTGTCATTTGAAAAAGGCTCTGTATGGCCTAAAACAAGCACCACATGCTTAGTATGGCAGAATAGAGAGTTATTTCTTAATTAATGGTTTCAAAAAATCTCCTCAAGAGCACACTCTTTTCACTCAAAAGGATGGAGGTATGATTCTCATGGTTTGCGTCTATGTAAATGATCTAGTCTTTACAGGAAATTCACAAGAAATGATAGAAGATTTCAAAGTATCCATGAAGAAAGAATTTGATATGAGTGACATGGGGATGCTTCACTATTTTTTTGGGAATAGAAGTTAGACAAGAAGAAGAAAGAATAAAGATCATTCAACAAAGGTATGCCTAGACCTTACTTGATAGATTAATATGGGACAGTCTACTCCTACCAGTACACCTATGGACTTTGGACTTAAACTATTAAAAGATAGTAAGGATGATGATATGGATGCTAATCTTTTTAGAAGCCTGGTAGGTAGTCTCATGTATCTAACTGCTACCGGGTTAAACATGGTTTTTTTCAGTTAGCATGATTAGCAAGTTTATGGAATCTCCTAAAACAAGTCACTAAGAAGTAGAGAAACAAATTCTCAAGTATGTTAGAGGTACTCTTGACCATGGTACTGTTTATTCCCAGACAAAGAATTTCAAGCTTATGAGTTATAGTGATAGTGATAGTGATTTTGGAGGAAATTTGGATGATGGAAGAAGTACAACATGCTATATTAACATAGGATCTGGAGCTATATCTTAGCAATCCAAAAAGCAAAGTATGGTGGCTTTATCTTCTGTTGAGGCAGAATACATGTCTCTGCCAATATCTGGGTGCCAAGCTCTATGGTTAAGGGCAGTTTTGGATGAATTGGAGCATTCACAAGGTGATACCACTACTATATTTTATGACGATAAATCTACAAAAAATCTTGTCAAAATATCCAGTGTTCCATGGAAAGAACAAGCACATAAGGATTAAATTTCATTTTATTCGAGAACTTGTGACAAATGGTGAAGTAAGGATTGAGTTTTGTGGGACAAAAGATCAAGTTAGTGATTGTTTTACAAAGGCACTTCAAATTGGAAGTTTCAAGGTCATGAAAGAAAGCTTGGGAGTGCGGGTGTTAAAGGTTAAGCTAGTTATGGTGTTTGTAACGGTTAGTTATCAATTATATGTTCACAGTTATATAACTGTCATAATTAAGGATAGTTGTGTCGTTTGAGTGAAGGGTTGCATCCCTTCATATCTGTATATATGTAATTTATCTGTTGTATGTAACAACGGGATGATTCAATGAATAACATATTAATGGTGAAAAGGTTGCTCTAACAATATTCATGTACCAGAAACTGCAAGGAGGTTTTTAACGCAATGGTACTTGATTCCCACCCCTTTCCCCCTAAAATTAACTATAGTGTAGGTCCATATTTAAATCCGTGGAGCCAAGCGGTTTCCTGTATGGTTACAGTCGGTATTAAATTCCTGTATATCATAATTATTCAAATTAATATGGTTGGTATTCAGTAATTGTAATAAGGTACAACTAAACAGTTCAGGCTTTATCTGCTGTTTCTGTATCAGCTTCAACTAGCCATGGAGTTTTGGTTAGATTTCGGTCACAGATTCAAGCCATTAAAATAGTTTCTTTGCGCACAAAGGCAAGGAGAAGCTTGCATAAAAAGACCTCTCCGCCAAACCTCGTACACTCAGGTAATTCTTTTTGGAAAACCATTTCCAGTGTTTGATCTTATGCAAGTGTTAGGACTTGACGTGGTTGGTACTTCCTCGCCCATAAAGCAGACTTAAAGTGCTCTAGCAACCCAAGTCAATTATATAGTTAAGAAGCGTAACCACCTTCCCTTAAATTTTCTCATGAATACAATAATAGCACTATGCAACTACCATCTTCCTCCATTTAATTAGTTATGCATTTGTTTCTGACGAAGAACAAGAATATTATATAAGGCACAAGGGGATAAAAGAGAAAATGAAAACAAGAAACACTATTTGCAGCAACAGCAGCAGCAGAAACAGCATACGGATAGTTTTAGTCTCTGCCAAGAGTTATAAATGCATTCCTACTTCTCCGTCATACAGTCTTCCAGTTGTTAATTCTTCTTGAAACTTAACAGTCAAGGTACACAGATTTCCCTTGTTCTCTCTGGGTGAATATATCTTAATATGGTATTTATAGCCTGTGTGATCCAACAGTCCTTTTTTGACAGTGCTAACATATATACCAATTCATGCCATGATCATTTCACTGTTGTATTAAGATTCGAAGTTTAATGGTAGCATAAATTACACGAAAAATTCACTCACCGTCCAGGTGCCACTTGCTTGCATGTTTATTATAAACTACCAATCAACTCTTCAACATTGTAGCTAAGGTACAACAGTTGCTCAATCTTCTATTACTATATGGATATTATGAGGATGAACACTGTTTACCTTCATTTTTTGTCTCGGAATTACATTTTATTTCATTTTGCAACTCAAGTTTTCTTGAGACTTTAAAAGTATCAAAATGGGGCATTGAGAGAATTCATTTTCTTCAAATCATTTTGAGATGACAAGAAGCAGAAGTTAGCGACGACTTTTGTTGTTACTAAACGTCAATTTATCGTCATAAACAGTTCATAGCGACGACATGTTATCGCTATCGCTTTTGGCTGAAAAACACCAGATCTCACTTTTCTTGCAGAAGTCAAAGTCATGCTTAAGTTTCCAATTATCCAAGTGTTTTTGTGAGTACAATTACATGTCGTTACTTTGTTACATGGTATTTGATAAGGCACATGGGACAACACGATAAAATTATCACTGTGAAACAAAGACATGGAAACAAAATTATGAAATGATTGAGCATTGAGGTAGTTGATTATAGTTTACAACAATCTGAAAGAAAGACGAAACGAATTGAACTGAGAGATGGTACATCGAGACCAGACTATTGATTAGTACTGCCACTATTTTGGTACCGAGGATATGTGGTTGAAGGTAAAAGATATATCATTCCTGATGCAGTGCTAACGGCTCGGGCAGACAACTATAGTTATTTAGCTTTTAGGGGTTCAAAAGCTCCTGATGGTAGTTGAATCACATGGCTAATGCAGATTCCTGAGGATGAAGATCAAATCAGAAGAGTATAAGCAGCTTCAGATTAAGAAAATATATAAAGCTGATTTAGGAAGCAAGGCTTTATTCAGTTAGCTATATATTGAAGATTGGAGATGGCATTTGTTTTGTGGATACATTCTAAAACTAGCCTGATTTTTAAAGAACTGGTGAAAAGTAGGATGATTTATTTATTTTGTTCCATAGAGTGTTATCACTTTTTTATATATAACCCATTTCTCCCCCACCCCACCCTCTTCATGAAACAAAAATAGATCACCCTACTTTAGACCTTTTCTTAAAACAAAATTACCCTAGATTCAGATTTTGTCCATGTTTTGCCTGGTTAGATTCTCAGTTGTCTTAAGTTTATGAAAACGCATTCAAAATTGCAACGTAAAACTTAAGATATCAACGTTCGTGACAAAATTAGTCAATCAGAGTGTACACGAAGACCATGGAAGGAATGCATACACTTATCAAAGTAGAAATTTATGTGAAAACTAAAGACTGGATGATCATGAATGATTTTTGCATTTATCGTGGTGTTACACCAAGATCCAACCCTAATCTTGTGTCCAAAGAATACACATGATGAAGAGGCATGATTGCAGATTGCGTCATGCATGTTTCACACCTGAACGCAAAAGGGTTTTAATTATATGACTACATATGTAGGAGTAAGACATCATATATATATATATATATATATATATACATACATATATCCATACATATATATAGGATGCAACTCTTATTAATACAGGGATGTATAGCCATATGCATCTCAATGATAAAAAGTGACTAGTTTAAGAATTACTTGGTTTGGAGAAGATATACTATATAGTAATATGGTAGGACTTTCGAGAAGTCAGATTTCCTAGCTCCGTTCTAGTATGTATAGATTAGTTAGTTTCTCATCCTATGTTTCATTGGGCTAGCTGTTTACTAAGATTGTGTCTAGACATCAAATGCAAACTCAGGAAAAACTAGTTACTGAATGGTTTTCTCCCACTTTTCTCTAGACTCTTGCATGCTATGGAAAGCTCTTTGCCTAATGGCAGTGATGGATCTACTTGAGAAAGTAAGTATGCACATGCATTTCCAGAGATAGTTCAGTGTTTTATGGTGTAAAGAAAAGAGGAAACTTGTTACCGAATGCATTCCAGTTTTCTTTTAATCGTAGTGCATAGCCAAGTTAGAAAATGTAAATCCACCAACGAATAACAGCTTTCGGTCATCTATGGTCACTTTCATTCCCCTTGGTGAGCTGATGGACAATCCGCGGGGTACCCTAATTTAGTTTCTCTATGAACTTGAATAACTTGCTCTCCTTTTTTGTTCCTTATTTTGGTTGATGTATTGATCCCAATCTCTCTTAGGGGTGTTTGGTAAGAGACATTATACAATATTTAACGAGAATGTAAATAAAATAAACCTGTTTGGTTTATATAATATATATATATATATATATAATGGGTTCATTCCACCCAAATTTTTATTCTACCTTAAATTAGGGAATGAAAATTCATTCTCATTTTTCATTCCTGTCATTATTATTTTCATCCTGATTTTCATTCATTTCCTTGAACCAAACACCCTATTCCAGATGTCTCTTTCACTTGTTTTTTATTCATTTCGAATCAAATTACCATGGTTCAGCCTTGAAGCTAGACTATTCGGATGGATGTGATTTATCTTTGCTGAACTTATTGATTATCCTTTGTCAATGTTGTTTCCCAAAACTAACTCTAATTCTCCACTTCTTGTCAAGTGTGCATTGTGTTCTATCCATTGTAAATAGAATATGGTAGAATATTCAAGATGTTAGATACTGGGTTCTATTTTATTGGTCTTCTGTTGTCGACTAAAATTGTAACACATTTATATCGTATATACAAACTTTATCCTGCTTTATCCAAATAAACCTTAATTTGTATCCCCGTTAATAGTTTTCTTTTATTCTTTATCTGCCTTCTCAATTCTCACAAAATGATACCTTTGTTTGTAAGTGTACACTAACACGTACGATAATAAAATTGAGATTTAAACTCTTAAAATGTTTAAACGTCCTAATAGCATGTTTTATAATACTTCAGTTTATAGGATCATACTGTAAGACGATTTTAGGCGTTTCAATAAGTTTTTTAGTACGCTTTTAAAATAAAGTGTACTATTAGTTATTTCATATGACACTTTTGAAATGTTTAATAAAACCTTTTACAGAAGGAAGTTTGTGTTTATAAGATTTCAAATAGTATCGTATAAGTTATAAAATAATTAATAAGACACTTTATTTTAAAAGCGTCCTAAAATTCTTGTTAAAACACCTAAAAATCTCTTGTATACATGGTGTAACATTTTTAAATAAGACAATGATTCTATAAATTTAAGTCCTACAAAATATATTATTTGGACGCTTAGAAATTTTAAGTGTACTATAAATCCAATTTTGTTGTATTACTGATGAGAGTTTTGGGGGTTATAGAACTTCCATAAATGTGGGCAAGGTTCCACTGAACGATATAATCCAGTATGATGCATCACTGCAATAAAAATGGTTTTATAACACACTTAAAACGTCTAAGGGTCATAATAAAATATTTTATAGGACTTAGGTTTATAGAGTCAAATCAAAAAACATCATATCTAAAAGTGTTTTGGTCCCATAGGGGTTTTATAAGAGTAAACAGTTTATACAAGGGGAGATAAATAAAAACACAAATTTTCACTTCTTAAATTCGTTTATTGATTAAGAAGAACCAATATGAGAATTTACAGATTGCGAAAATAGATAAGGAAAAGTCATAATCTAAACAATCTATGAGAATCATTAAGCTTGTCTTGCACAAAAAGAAATAAGAAAGAATAAGAGATATAAGAGTGTTGAAGGTGTAAGGAGGGTTTTCTCCACTATTTATATCCACTACATTAAATGCACCTCAGAAAATACAATCTATGTGTCAAAAGGAGGGTAGTATGCATGTTCTTGTCCATCAGATATGACAAACTTGGTGAGCACGTTGCGAGACAATAAAGTGATTCGTATCGTACTACTATCTCGTAGAAGCAAGGGGTATGTACTTCTTTGCAAAACAATCTTGATGCATAAGATATTAATCAAGTTATAGAGATGAATCGATGAGGATTCCTTCAGCTATTGTTGATATCTTGGTTATATTTTACTTTTTATGTAGATAGTCATGGTATCACAGAATGCCGATTCAGATCATGAGTGGACCATCTTTGTCTTGAGCTTTATGTTCGATATTGCTTAATCTTCTTTGATGTGAGTTTGTCTTTAAGGAAACCTTTTAATAAAATAATTGTCTCATTTACTGTTTTGAGGGATCTTTCAGTATCTATATGGAGTAAAAGTACTATTTTGAAATTTCATTAACTGTAAAAGAAATTACAAGTATAGAAATAGAAATTACAATGTCTAAAACTACAATAACTAAAAAAATCTTATAACTGATAATAAAAGAATAAGATAAGAAAATGCATCTATTAGCTAAGATCATCAAAGGTGACATAGTAGGGAAATTCAACTCTTTGATCTCTTCTCTTCAACAACTCCCTTCGAATTTTTCTTTCAACGGACTGACCGGGGAGAGTTGAGACATACAATAAGTGAGGAAAAAGATCAGATGGTCGTTAGGTGGAATACAAAGCTCTGAGCATCGCTTAAATCTAAGATCCTCATTCGTATCTGTGAAGAAGATTCCTTGTTCAAGTTTTAAGACAACATTACCTAGAATTTGAGCACCTTTGATAGGAAGGGTTAAGTTCAGCATAGAGAAATCTAGAGAGTAGTTGGAAAGAACTTCATCGAGTGAGAACTTTGTTTGAAGCTTGTTCTTAAGAGGTAGGCTATTATCATCAACATTTCATCCTCTACGACTCGTCCGCAGTAGTAAAGAAGGAACAACTACTACCTTTGATATTCTTTTGAAGAGTCTGTTCAGCTCCTTTTCAATAATGTATTTGTACCTGGACTTGGACTTCTAAATGCTTTGA